GCAAATTAAAGAAACCTTAAATGTAAAAAAGATTGCTGTTCATCTGGAAAATAGATGACTAAGGGCATCACATTTTTGCCATGTAGACGATGTAAGACTTTTGGTCGCTATTTAGTGAATATACCACTTTTTTTAATCTTGAATAGACATAGACATGAACATGTCTATCTATAGCTCATAGTCAAAAAGAGCAGCACAAATCAGATATGTAGTGATGGCTCTAGGAAGAAGCCACCAGATGGCAGGCTTGATTCCAGTAAAACTGAGCTCCTTTACATGCTCTGTTATGGTCTAGGTCACACTATGACTTTGTTCACACCAATTGAGGCCATTTTATTATGCATTTATACAAATTTAGAAGCATTTGGTTTAATTCCATGAAAAGGAATCCATTTAAAATGCTTTAAAAAGGGACACAGGGACACACACACACTTCCAATGTACCTCGAAACATGCTGATGTGAACAAGACAGTTTAAAATGATGGGCAATGGTGACCGTTACATGTATTTTTTGCTTTTGCTGGGGAATGCACAAAAGCGCTCCTGGTATGAACAAATGCAAAACTTTAGAAACCTTTTCAAAAGAAAGCAAAGCTGAAAAAGTAAATTATTGCAGTGCCACAAACAATATTTAAAAAAACACGCCTGAACAAGCGTTCACATGACATTAATAAATGGCATACTCCGAACATTAATATTCCTATGCTCTATTCAAAGCACACACTTTTACAAAATAATTTTTAGCTGCATTTGCACAAACATAACCACACCTTAAAATACATGATATATAAAACAAGTAGAGTAAGCTAGTTATACACACGGGAGGAGGTAGACCAGGAAGGCCACGTACCCCGATGATGGCATTCAACTCTGCCATTGTCACTTGTTTGGCACGCTCTACGGCTTGAGCCACCTGTTGTTGATGCTGCAAATAAAAAAAATAATTTGGGGGTAATAAATAAATTACTCAGGTTTCTGATCATAAATGTAATGTAGGGTAGTCACATAATAAGCCTGATTTGTCAGGGATATGTCTGCAGTCAACTAGCAACCATGGTTCCTACTTATTAGCCCAGGGATATGCAATCTCTGTCCCTCCAGCTGTGGTGCAACTACAAAACCCAGTAGGCATTGCAAATCTGACAGCCACAGGCATGGCTTCTAGAGGCAGATGCACGTAGTTTCACCACAGCTGGAGAGCCAGAGTTTGCCTACTCCTGTATTAGCCATTTTACCGAGAACAAATTAAAGCAAACAATTCCAGCTAGAATTATATTTTTCCTTTGCTGAAAGTCTTATATCTTCTATAGGGCTTTTTTGTGTTTCTGTTGGAAGATTTCCCCTCACAAATAAAAGGTCGTCACCAGGACAGGTCTTCAAGTGCTTATGAGTTTTTTGTAGCATTTTTAAAGCCATGTCTCGGTTGGGGGAATTTTCACTCACCTCCTGTCATTTAGTGTTATAAAGATGCTACCCCCCCAAAAAAGGAATTGGCTGTTCCAGGATCAAATGGACCCACTTTTTAGATTCTTTGAGGGTAGTAGTCTGAACATTTCATAATAATGTTAAAACACATACAGTACATTGTCAAAGTTTTTACTACATAAACTCTAAAGGATGCATGGTGTTTTTACGAATTTGGGTCTATGAAACAGTTTCTGTAAGACAGATGTATGCATTCTCCCGCCTTTTTTGTGAAGTATTAGAATGTTGTAATTTGTGACCTATGGAACTGTCCACAGTCTCACTTTTTGGGGGTTGGTCTGCAATCTGTTAAATGAAGTACTATGGAGCTCTACACACCAAAACTAGAACAGATGTTCTTCACACTTATGCAACGCGATAAAATTAACATTGTAAAGCCATCTAATCTGCAAACAGAGAAGTAGCATAATTGCACTTTAGCAAGCAGTATTTTACTTACTTCCTGAGAAAGAAATGGGATGATTTGTGCACAAATTGTGTTCAGTCGCTTGGCAATTTCTGTCTGCAAGGGAAAATAGAAATCATAAGCAAAGAAATGCATAAAAATAGAACACCTTTACGAACTACCACAGGATAATACGGCACAAGCAAATATTGCTCATTACTACAAAAACGGTCACCAATCAAATGATTCCATGTTGCTGAAATGCTAAAGCAACTAGCACTAATAAGGTTGCATCCATTATCTTTAAACGCCGGGCACAAACTATACATAGTTAAAACAGAGTGCACACCTGTCGGATTTAGCCTGAAAGCTGATTTCCAATTGCCCCAGAGGCTCACAATCTTCATACAGAGGTGTCCTCCTTTATGCAAAACGGTCTTTTCAAAGTGACCTTTTCAACAGCTGCTTTGTAACAGCAGGGTCGACCAGTTGCCTTAGTGCCCACATGTAGCTTATTAAAGGCAGTGTCAGTCACGTAGTGATATTGATATTGCCTGCAGGCAAAGCATCACTGTATTCTGCACCAACCTGACCTTCAAAACTCCACCCTGCCCGACACCTTTGACTATGCAAATCTCTGCCACGCATAGCGCCATCTTGCGCTTAAAAACTGTCTGCCATGATGTCTGTACCGCTGTGGAACACAACGCTGTATTGTCAACTGTAGCCTAGAAACACAGGCTATTGACATCTACCTAAAAGGCAGCAGTCATGGCTACACATATTCATGCTAGTGCTGTGCTTACGACATAGTACTAAACTCTACTTTGTAGCCTATCAAGCTGCTTCAGTGATGACACGGGAGTTCTCTGCTCCCCTGTCACCTCCCATAATAAATCTGCAGAAATATCTGCCGATTGCTCAGTTTGTAGACATTAAAATGGCAAGATTACAAAGACGCCAGGGCAAACATTTGCATACTAATGAGAGGTTAAGAAAACTGGAGTGAGGATCAAAGGCCTGTACTTAATAAAGCTGGAAAAAACTTTAAAGAAAAAAACCAAAGCAAAAAATATGCATAGTAGCCACGTTTTTTAAATGTATTTTTATTACTGCTTTTATAATTGTCCAAGCACACCAAATTCATTTGCATCAAGAATTAGTGCATTGTCTTTTTACGGTCAGTCAGAAAAACCTTGTTTACAGAACAAATCTGTGATGTTCTTATTCTGCCCAGCACTGCAAATCAAGATAAGCAGAAGAAAACAAATCCTTACTACTTGAAGAAGCTTTGGCAGACAGAGCAGTAATAATTGTCCAAGTTCTTTGGCACCATAAAGATCAGCCTACAATGTCAGGAAAAGGCTCTTGTGTCTGTATGGCAGCTCTCAGAACATCTCAAGAGCCCTTAATTGTTTATGTTCTTAATGCCGAGTCTCTTGAGTGTGTTCATTTTTAATAGTAGACTCAAGTGTACAGCCTATCAAAGAGCAGCAATACAACTTTAGTCATTGGTTTTTGCTATCTGAACGATGGGTTTATTTGCAAATGACAACCTTTTAGCTGTGCCCTACACTCAAGAGCTGCCCTACTATCTTAAGGATCATTGCAATTAACATGGGGGAAACCTACTGTACTCTAACATGAAGGAGGAACTTGGAGGCAAGCCTATTTGGTTTTTTGATTCTTACCGTACAATAGGTGGAATGTCTGACATGTTGCCTAGCTGTTTTATGTATGCAAGTTATACTTTGACATTTATGTCAAGGAGGCATATTTAGCACAAATTACAAAAGCAATGCAAGACAGTGTTTTTGCAGAGGCAGAGGTTATTCATCATCTCCTATGAATCATTTGGCTTAGGGGAGACTGCTTCACAAGAACTTCATATTCTCTGTAGAAGTGAAAAGAGCCATTGTACACCCTTTATTTACATAGGGCAATGTACTGATTAACTTCAGTTTTGTAACTACATTAAGCTTGAACAATGGATAATTGTATAACAGACAGAATCTAAATGACTCAAATTTTTTAAACACTTGAAAACTCCTCAGTAAATACTGGCTGTATCTTGCAAATACGTTTTTTTCCCCTAAACCTTTAGGCAAACAGTAAAGCAGCAGCATAATGCTAAATCAGACCATATATATAGATAGATAGAGATATATATAAATACACACACACACACACACACACACACACACACACACACACACACACACACACACACACACACACACACACACACACACACACACACACATATATATATCTATATCTTTTTGGATAATTGCAGTTGGCTGAGAAAATACATCCCAGCCAACCAACCTAGAGAAGGGTCAGCCAGGGGTGTCTAGTAAAGTCACAATTAACAGGATTAAAAGATTTCTTCAGTAAGAAACCAGCATTTCTTACATGTGGACAAAAACTAGTAGCTTATCTTTTTTTTTTTTCTTGTCCAGCATTGATCTCCCAACTGTGGTATTCAGCTCATTTTACAAATACAATGGAGCCTTGCACCAGATTTATAGTCCTAAAATACACTCCCCTCAAAAAATAACAAAAAACACCAGGCACCATAGAGTACTGTTATGTTATAAGTACTCTGTTGATCCCTTCACAATTCCATTAACTGAATAACAGCTCACCAAAACCATTGGTCAACCTATCAAAGTAAAATAGATCAATAATGTATAGCACTAGGAGTTCAAATGATTCTGGGATTATCCCATTTACCGTTGTGATGGCACATTTATACAGGTTAAAAAGGTATACCACAATGTTTTAGGCTATGGTGTCCCTTTCTCAAATGCAGTAAAGCTGCTGGCACATACCACTGATTTGCATTCATTTAGGTACATGCCAATGGGAACCTAAAAGTCCAAGAAGAGGAACCTCCCATGCGATGTTTGCATCTCATGGACCTATAGAGACAGCATGCAGTGCATTATGAGGGGTTGAAGAGACTAACAAACTATCCAAAAAGTCAGATCCTAGCAGCAAGGTATCCTCATTACTGCCACTACAGAAAAGTGAATTGGTTACTAATCACACAGGAATTTCTGGAAAATCCATGCACAGTAACAAAAAAAAAAAGCTTCCTTCCAGGAAAGTGCTACATGCCCCGACAACCAAAAGCAATGGTCAAACCCGGCTCCAAGGCCATCCTTCAGCATGTAAACACTACACAGCCCTAATAAAAAAAGGTTTATACAAGCATTTTAATATCTTAACACTTTCCAAATCCACAAACAGCAATGTATATAAATGTACTATTAAACCTGCACACAGCAGGCCTGTGTTACTGGAATGGGGTTAAAAGGCATGGCTCAATAACTCAAAAGTCCTTCTAGACAGAAAAATGGACTTCCTGCCATTTATACCAAGCAACATTGTAAACCACAAAGGAATAAAGGTCAATGTTGCACTTTTTGTCATTACTGAATCATTTGAGATAATCTGTGTGGCGGATGAGGGAAAAATCGAAGGCAGTGAGAACGCTGCAAATGGCTTATTGACCTCAGAGCAATTTTCATCTCCATCTGTCTAACAGCAGACATATGGGAAAGGGGAAATGCTCTCAGTGCTGAGCATTCTTCCTTTTTAAATCCATGCCGCTCTTCTTAAATGCTTGGCACTCATTATGTAAACCAGGAATCCATTAATTGATTGGTTAAGGAGAAACCACACAAACAGCAATACAGGTTTTGCTTTGTTTCAAAAGGCCGGTAATGTTAAACGTGAATAAAATGATACATAAAATCATAACACACAGAAATATATATTTTATTTTGTAATTTACTTACTGCCTTTATAGTTTTTATTTTGATAAATTAAGTTGGAAAAAAAAAAACTGCTGAAAGCTCATGAAATAGGGATGTAATGCTGAACAAGTGAAGTGCTAAGCAACAAAATGCAATCTGATAGATTTGGAAGCCATAGTCCCCACAGTATATCAATGTCGAAGAGCATGTCAAGCTAGAAATCAATTCAGGTATAGGCCACAGCCAAATTTCACTGATCCCAAATGAGCTTTAAAATTATTTTATTGCTCAAAATTTAATTTGTTCCAACTCGCGTCTCCATGACAACGTTGGCTAATCCTGCAAATCATTTGGGTAATTGGATATCTTATCTTTCTATTGCTCTCAAATCGAATAATTCTGCTAGAATTGCAGCAGCCAATCAAATTTAAAGGTCTCCTGAGTAAAAGGCTTAAGTAGACACATTCATCTCCTCTTTACTGTCATATTAAACAGGATATGACAAACTGTAGAGGTTGGTTTTCAAAATCATTTGGGATTTAAAAAAATGCTTCTCAAAAAAGGAACTACATATAGTTATTTATAGCTGTGCTCCAAAGACCCCCTACAACCATATGTTGTGGGGGAGTGGGGATGGTTAGGTTAGACCGGGGAGTCTAAGAGGTACTGGACGTTTTTTACCTTTATGCAGAGAGTGCATTAAGGTAAAAACCGCCCAGCCTTTAGTAATACTTGAAGATTAGGGACCCCACCCAGAATTACACAAAAGTACAATTCTGCAGTGTAAGCCACTGGACCAGCACCCCAAGAAATGTAGAAAAATGTATTTTAAAAAAAAGGTACTGACAAAGCTGTCAATTGTTTACTGTAGCCATTCAAGTCTTCATTTAATTTTCCTACAGTGGGATAGGAAATTAACAGGATATGCTGACTGGCTGATATGGGCAGCAGACATTCTTCAAACACTTAAAACTCACCCATTGAGCATCGCTACTTTTTCCGAATTACTACAACATGGAAGTAATTGTAGTTGGCAGCCATACTGCAACTGCCACATATATTGAAAAAAGGAACCCATTATGAACCCCACTAAGTACATTTTCATAGAACAATCTGAACATATGAAGCACTTAAAAATTGTTGCATGACTCCTAAAATACTGTTTAACAGATTTTGGCACTAACCCAGTAAAAATGTTTGTTGTTGTACCTCTCTTAGCAATGCTTGGACTGCATCCTACGATAAAAGTTTAGTCTGTATGCCTCACTCCTCTAATCCTAATTTCTCAACATTTACACAATGAAAAATCACTCCCAGCAGTTATTGAGCAGACATAGTAAATAACTGTCCAGT